ACCCCAATTAAACGTAGGTTTTTCTTCCTTAGGCTGTAATTTATTTCCCTTAATCTGTCTTCATGGTCTTTTAATTGTCTGTCTCTTTTTTCCTCAGTTTCCCTCTTTGGCATCAACTTGTCTTCTATGTCACTCACTCGTTCTTCCAACTCATTAACCCTCGTCGTTAGGACTTCTAGTTTGGATTGCATCTCATTCTATTGATTTTTAATTTCTGCCTGATTGGATCTAAATTCTGCAGTCATGAATTCTCATGAGTCCTTAATGCTTTTTTCTAGAGCCACCAGTAGTGTATAATAGTGCTTCTGAATTGGCTTTCTGACATTGAATTGTAATCCAGCTTTTGTAACTCTGTGGGAGAGAGGACTGTTTCTGATTCTTTCTTTTTAGGTGAGGTTTTCCTTTTAGTCATTTTGCTCAGTGCAGAGTGGCCAAAAACAAGTTGTATTGGGAAAAGGAGAGAAAGAGAGAGAAGGAAAGAAAAGAGAAAGAGAAAAAAGAAAAAGAAGGGAAAAAAGGGAAAAAAAGAAGAAAAAGAGAAAGAAAAAGAAAGAAAGGTGAAAAAAGGGGGGTTGGGGGAAGCAATCAGAAATCAAAAAGAAAAGAAAAAAGAAAAAAAAAACCAAAAAACACGGGGAGTATCTTCTGATTCTGTAGACTTTAAGTCTCTTGACTTCCCCTGGAACTGGTCCGTCCAGATGGTCTTCTGGGGGAGGGGCCTGCTGTGCTGATTTTCAGGTGTTAGCACTTGGGGGAGCTGTTCTGCCCCTGCCTGGTGCAGGGCTCAGCAGGGGTTGTTTGCCCCGTGAGGTCCCAGGAGGAACAGCCGCAGTGCCTATGGCAGCTCTGGAAGCCTGGATTCAGCCTCCGTAGGAACTACGGGGCTCTCCGTCCTGTCCTCAGGGCCTGGAGGCTCCGGGGCGGGGCCGCTGATGTGCTCAGCGCCGGGCAGGAGCGTCCTCGCTGTCCTGGGACCTCCCGGCCTCTGCCTGTCCCGGGGGAGGCCGTATCCTGGGCTGTGTCCCGCCGCCCTGTGCTCCGGGGCCTGCGCTGCTGGATTCGCTCCCGCCTCGCAGCCCACTCCGCGGAGCCGCCGCCCGAGCCCCTCCGAGCTGCTCCGGCCCCGCCGTGCGCGCTGCAGCCCTTAGGGAGCTCGGCGCACCCTCCCGGGGCGCAGGTGTCTGTTAGTGTCCCCGGGAGCCCGAGGGCATCCCCGCCCTCCTGGGGTCCTGCTCCAAGTCCCTGCGAGCCCCTTTCCGCCCGGGAAGTTTGGTGCAGCTCCTGCTTCCCCGGGACTTGGCTCTCCTGTTCTGGGGACACTCGCCCCGGCCTCAGCCGGGCTCCTCGCGGGGCCCCTCCCCCTCGAAGGCCTTTTGTTCCTTTATTTCTTTCCCCCGTCTTCCTACCTTGATAGAAGCGCGAACTCTTTTCACTGTAGCATTCCAGCTGGTCTCTCTTCAAATCTCAGGCCGAATTCGTAGATTTTCAGGATGATTTGAAGGTTATCTAGGTAATTTGGTGGGGACAAGTTACTTGGGGACCCTACTCTTCCGCCCTCTTGCCCCTCCTCCTTCTGAGGACAATTCAAATGGTAAATGGTTTTCCATCCTTTTATTTTCAGGCTGGAGGCTTTTTTAGGTCTCAAGTGGGCCTCTTGTAGATAGCAAATAGACGGTTCTTGCTTTTTTATCCGCGGTGAAAACCTGTGTCTTTTGATGGGGTCTTTAAGCTCATTCACGTTCAGAGTTACTATGGAAAGATATGAATTTAGTGTCATAAAACCTATTCAGTCCCTGTATTTGTGGATTGTTTCCTTGGACTTCCTCTTTCTTTTTGGAATCCCCCTTACTATTTCTTGCAGAGCTGGTTGGGTGGTCTCATATTCTTTCAGTTTCTGCCTATCTTGAAGCTCTTTATCTCTCATTCTATTCTGTATGAGAGCCTTGCTGTATAGAGTATTCTTGGCTGCATGTTTATCTCATTTAGGACCCTGAATATATCCTTCCAGCCCTTTCTGGCCTGCCAGGTCTCTGTGGAGAGGTCTGCTATTAGCCTAATACTTCTCCCCATAAAGTTTAGGGATTTCTTGTCTCTTGCTGCTTTAAGGATATTTATATTTTTGGAATTTGCAAATTTCACTATTAAATGTCGGGGTGTTGAACAGTTTTTATTGATTTTAGAGGGGTGGATCTATCTTCTGGATCTGAGTGCCTGTTTCCTTCCCCAAATTAGGGAAGTTCTCAGCTATGATTTGCTCAAATACACTTTTTGGTCCTCTGTCCCTCTCGGTGCCTTCTGGAACCCCAATTCAACATAGATTTTTCCTTCTGAGGCTGTCATTTATTTTCCTTAACCTTTTCTCATTATCCTTTAATTGTTTTTCTCTTTTTTACTCATTTCCTTCCTTGGCATCAACTTGTCTTCTATGTCACTCACTTGTCCCTCTACCTCATTAACCCTCCTCTTTAGGACCCCCAGTTTGGATGCCATCTCATTTAATTGATATTTATTTTTTACCTGATTACATCTAAATTCTGCCATCATGAAGTCTCTTGATTCCTTTATGCTTTTTCCAAAGCCTCCAGTAGCTTTATAATTGTGCTTCTGAATTGGCTTTCTGACATTGAGTTGTAATCCAAATTCTGTATCTCTGTGGGAGAGGACTGTTTCTGATTCTTTCTTTTGTGGTGACTTCTTTTTCTAGTCATTTTGCTCAGTGCAGAGTGGCTAAAAACAAATTGTATTAGAAAAAAGGAAGGAAGAAGGGGAAAACATAAAATGGGGGGAAACAAGCAAAGAAAAAATAGAAAACAAACAATAGGGAGGGGTATCCTATGATTCTATATACTGTAAATCCCTCGACTTCCCCTGGAACTTTGCATTGCTGCTTGGTCAATAACTTGCTTTCCCCTGTGCTCCCAGCTGGTGTTCTGGGGGAGGGGCCTGCTGTGCTGATTTTTAGGTGTGTGCGCCCATGGGAGCTGCCCTGACCCCTGCCTGGTCCACAGTTCAGTGGGAGCTGTTTATCCTGTGAGGCCCCTGCTCCCTGGCGGCCCTGGCCTGTCCCAGGCACAAGGTGACACAAAGGGAGGAACAACAACAGTGGCGGTGGGCAGCTCTCCAGCCCTAGAGTCAGCTTCAGTAATAACTACCACAGCTCTGAGTCTGCAGGGGCCCCAACGTTCTGGGGGCGGGGAGCACTGATCTACAGAGTTCGGGGGTGCCCTGGGAAGCAGTGTCCTCACTGTCCTGTGTCCTCCTGGCCTCCACCTGTCCCAGTGGGAGCACTGGATCCTGAACTGTGTTCCCTGGCACCGTGGGTTCCAGGGCCTGCACTGCTGGAATCATGCTTCTGGGGCTGTGGAGCCCCCTCTGCGTGGATCCACCACCTGAGCTGCTCTCAGGGCCGTGCAGGCCTCTCCACGGGGAGCCGCCACGTGAGCTGCTGCCTGGGATGCTCCCTATGCCCCACCAGGTACGAGATCCAGCCCTTTAGGGAGCTCGGCCCTTGGTGTGTGGCATGCTCTTCCTCAGGGCGCACTTCCTCTGTTAGTGACCCTAGGAACCTGGGGGCTCCACTGCCCCTCCTGGGATCGTGCCCAAGTTCCTGCAAGCATCTTTCCATCAGGGAAGATTGGTAAATTTTTTGCTTCTCTGGGACTTGGCTTTTCTCTCCTGGGGGCACTCACCATTTGGCCTTTGCCTGGCTCTTAGAGGGGCCCCTCCCCCACTCGATGCTTGCTTATTATTTATTTATTTATTTATTTATTTATTTATTTATTTATCTGTCTTCCTACCTTGATAGAAGTGTGAACTCTTCTCACTGTAGCATACTAGCTGTTCTCTCTTTAAATCTCAGGCTGTATTGTAGGTTTTCAGATTGATTTGAAAGTTTCCTAGGTAAGTTGGTGGGGACAGGTGATTTCGGGATCCTACTCTCCGCCATCTTGTCCAGCCCCCCAATTTTTTTTTTTAAGAACATAGCATGAGCAGTGGGAAGGGGCAGAGGAGAAGGTGAGAGAGAATCTTAAGCAGGTCATTGCTTAGCACAAGTGCCCAATGCAAGGTTCAATCTCACAACCCTGAGATCATGACCAGAGTTGAAATCAAGATTAAAGTGTTTGATTGACTGAGCCACCCAGATGCCCCTCCATCACAGACTCTTAAAGAACAGGGATGCCTGGGTGGCTCAGCTGTTGAGCCACTGCCTTTGGCTCAGGGCATGATCCTAGACTCTCAGGATCGAGTCTCACATTGGCCTTCCTGCATGGAGCCTGCTTCTCCCTCTGCCTTATCTCTGCCTCTCTCTCTGTGTCTCTCATGAATAAATAAAATCTTTTAAAAAATAAAACTAAAGAACAATCTGAGGATTGATGGAGGGAGGTGTATGAGGGTCAGGCTAGATGAGTGATGGGTATTAAGGTGGGTACTGTTATGCCCAAGATTGTGAATCTGAGAAACCACCAAGGAGCCAACACCGATGCAAACACACGAGGGTTTATTTACAATCTCGAGCTTGGGTCCAAGTGTACCCAACACAGCGGAGCAGAGACTTGGACCCCGAGACTAAGAGGTGTAGCAGCTTTATAGGGACCAGTGGCCAATGGGATTGTAACTTATGCAGAAAGTTGCACAGTCATGCTGGTCCACAAGCAGGTGGCCAATTGAATTACATTTTACTCTACAGTATCCATTTGAGCTAGCTTATTATTTTGGTCAGAATCGGTGCGCAGTTTTGGCAGGCACAAGGCGGGGTTACATTTTTATGAGCCGATTTCCGATTAGGGTGTGCCTAGCGGCTTGACTAGGGTGGGGCAGCACCTTAAGCAGTTAGCAGGTCCTGTGGGGGTCATACAGGAGGTGGCGGGTGCAGCACAAAATGGAGTTAGTCCTGCTCTGCTTGTCCAGAGGCAGGGGATTTTTGTTAAATTTCCTGGGTCCCACAGGTACTTGTATGATGAGAACTGAAGGCTGTCTCCCGGGTGAACTAGGCCGTCGCAACGAGGGGGGAGGAGTGTTTGTCCTCCTACAGACATGGGGCGCAGAAAGTCCAAACGGAAGCCACCCCCCAAAAATAAGATGACCGGCACCTTAGAGACCCAGTTCACCTGCCCCTTCGGCAACCACGAGAAGTCTTGTGAAGTAAAGATGGATCGTGCCCGCAACGCCGGAGTCATCTCTTGTACCGTGTGCCTAGAGGAATTCCAGACACCCATCACATATCTGTCAGAACCAGTGGATGTGTACAGCGATTGGATAGATGCCTGCGAGGCAGCCAGTCAGTAGCAATGCAGAGGACCCACTCCCTTGGTGGTGCCGCCTGCAGTGGACCTGCCCCGCTGGCTACCAGTACAGAGACATTCCAGGGTCCAGGGTGTGGGTCTAGGGCCTTCACGGCCCTCCGTGTGGATGGTGTGGGTGTGGGTGTGAGTGTGTACGGCTGCGAGTGTGGCCATGTCAACATGCTTGTGGGCACCGACTGGAGGTGAGGTGGGCCCCCCCGGGGGCCTGAAGTGCTTCACTTGGCTCTGAAAGCCTTTTACTTGCTTGCTCCTCCTCGGAGCCTGTGTCCTGACATTCTGGACAAAGCCAAGGCCAGCAGAGGCTGCCTCGGGTTTCTCCAGCCTCCTCACCCACCTCACCAGCACCTTGCCCATTTGAACTGGACTTCCCTCCCTCTTCCCCTGCCTTCCAAGGCCTGTGGCCTGAGATTCAGAGCCACAGTCCCACAGTCCCCTTGGGCCCTAGCAGAACAACCCCTTTCCCATTTAGTTGCTTTTGTAGAGGAGGAAGGGGCGGGGCCTGGGATAGCTGTCAATCACCAGCCCTTAAATAAAGCAGCCGATGAAAAAAAATTGAGAAATGAATGTTGTGTCAAATAATGAATCACTGAATTCAGCTCCAGAATCCAATATTACATCGTATGCTAACTAAAATTAAAATTAAGAAAAATGAAAAAAAGAAGGAAAAGAAGGGATAAACTTAATATAAGACAGTAAAAGTTTGGTTGCTGTTTGAATACTTAGAGTTATTGGACAAGTGATGAAATCAAGGTAAGATATTGTTATAAGATCAAGAAAGGAAGATTTCACTAGGATTATTTGAAGATTGAAAATGTGAATAAAGGGATCCCTGGGTGGCGCAGCGGTTTGGTGCCTGCCTTTGGCCCAGGGCGTGATCCTCGAGACACGGGATCGAATCCCACGTCGGGCTCCCGGTGCATGGAGCCTGCTTCTCCCTCTGCCTGTGTCTCTGCCTCTCTCTCTCTCTCTCTCTCTCTCTCTCTCTGTCTGTGTGTGTGACTATAATAAATAAATAAATTAATTAAAAAAAGAAAATGTGAATAAATATTTTCAATTTGGATATATAAAGATCAAACCATTCTATAGACTGATTACAGAGACAACTGGGTACCTCAGTGGTTGAGCATCTGCCTTTGACTCAGGCCCTGACCTTGGGTCCAGGGATCAAGTCCTGTATTGGGCTTCCTGTGAGGGAACTTCTTCTCCCTCTATGTCTCTGCCTCTGTCTCTGTGTCTGTCATGGATAAATTAATAAAATCTTTAAAAACATATAAAAATAAACTGATCACATTTTTTGAATTATCTCATGGTCCATTGGATTTATTTCTCCAAGGTGTCTTAGTGTATTTTTATATTATATTTTTATATTATTCTTATTATATTTATTAGTTTCACAGGTAGAATTTAGTGATTCCTTGGCTGCTTATGGTACTCGGTGTTCATTATTTCACATGCCTTCCCTAATGCCCCTTCTAATTATCCCATCTTGCCATCCCTTTCAGCTCCAGCAACCCTCAAGTTTTTCCTAGAGTTTGATGTCTCTTATGGTTTGCTCCCCTCTCAATTTTCATCTTATTTAATTTTTCCTTCCCTTCCTCTTTGTTCATTTGTTTTGTTTCTTTATTTTTATTTTTATTTTTTTATTGGAGTTCAATTTGCCAACATATAGAATAACACCTAGTGCTCATCCCATTAAATGCCCCCCTCAGTGCCCATCACCCAGTCACCCCCACACCCCACCCACCTCCCTTTCCACCACCCCTGTTCATTTCCTAGAGTTAGGAGTCTCTCATGTTCTGTCTCCCTCTCTGATATTTCACACTCATTTTTTCTCCTTTCTCCTTTATTCCCTTTCACTATTTTTTTATATTCCCTATATTCCCTAGACCATATAATGTTTGTCCTTCTCTGATTGACTTATTTCACTTAGCATAATACCCCCCAGTTCCATCCATGTCGAAGCAAATGGTGGGTATTTGTCGTTTCTAATGGCTGAGTAATATTCCATTGAATACATATACCACATCTTCTTTATCCATTTATAGCAGCAATGTCCACAATAGCCAAACTGTGGAAGAGGCCTCGGTGTCCATCGAAAGATGAATGCATTTGTTTTGTTTCTTAAATGCCACATATGAGCTAAATCATATGGTATTTGTATTTCCCTAACTTATTTTACTTAGCATAATACCCTCTAGCTCCCTCCATCTCATTAAAAATGACAAAATTTCATTCTTTTTGATGGTTAAGTATATATATATATATATATATATATATATATATATATATATAGGAGTTGACTAAGCCCATTACCCAAGATCCTGTTATCATCAGCATGAACACGTTTTTGCCTATATGAATGGGATAGTGAAGAGGAAGTCAAATAGCCACATAACAACCATAGGCCATTGAGGCCAATATTAATATATATATTAATATGTATTATATATATAATGGAATATATATATATATACCAAATGGAATATATATATATATATATATATATATATATATATATATATCACTTCATTGTTGAACATCTGGGCTCTTTCTATATTTTGGCTATTGTATGTTATCTACTTTATTGCTTAAGTACTTGCATTACTGAGAATATCTGTGGCCTTTACACTTCAGGTTATGGTTAATAATTTGTAACAAAAAAGAAATAATAATTTGTAAAAAATAAAGAAATTAAAAGAAAAAATGCCACAAAATGAGTGACTGGGAATATATAAGTACTTTTTCAAATCGTTATTATTTTTATTTTCTAGATTAATGTAATTCCTATCTTTAATCCTGCTATGATATTGTTCTTAAGGACTGTACAAAATGAAATTAATATACTTCTAAGCATCAGAACTAGTGAGAACTTTGCTACATTTCTATAGAGCAGAACTTCAGAATCACTCTTCTCAGAGCACCCATCACTTCCTTATTTCTCAGGCTGTAAACAATTGGGTTAAGCATTGGGGTCAAGATGGTGTAGAATACAGCCAAGGCCTTGTCCTCTGTTGGAGTTCGGAGGGATCTTGGGCGTAAATAAGTGTAAGCAAAGGGTGCATAGTAGAAAGTCACCACAGTGAGGTGGGTGCTGCAGGTTGAATAGGCCTTCTTCTTCCCTTCTGTGGACTGCATGTGGAAGATGGCAAGGAGAACACGTCCATAGGAACATGCAATGCCAATGAAAGGAATTACAATCAAGAGTGTGGTGCTCACAAACACCGTGTACTCATAGACCCAGGTATCCATGCAGGCCAGCGTCAACATGGCTGGGACTTCACAGAAGAAGTGGTTGATAGTCCTGGATCGACAGTAAGGTATATTGAAGGCATATACAGTGTGGGCACAGGAGTTGACTGAGCCCATTATCCAAGATCCTGTTATCATCAGCATGCACACTTTTTTGCTTATACGAATGGGATAGTGAAGAGGAAAGCAAATAGCCACATAACGATCATAGGCCATCGAGGCCAATATTAGTCCTTCTGCACCAGCTAAAGCAATGAAGAAGAAGCTCTGAACTCCACACCTAATGAAAGAAATAGACTTGTTTCCAGAGAGATAATTAGAAGCCATCTTGGGGACAATATTGGAGATGTAGCTCAGGTCCATGAGGGAGAGCTGACTAAGTAGAAAATACATGGGTGTGTGGAGATGAGTGTCCACAAAGATGAGGATGATCATGGACAGGTTGCCAAACACAGCCATTAGGAAAATAAGAACAATGAGAATGAAAAAGCACAGGCCAATTCTTGATGGTGGAAACAGCCCCAATAAGAAGAAACCAGATGTCTGGTTAATATTTTCCATGGGACATTAAGTTAGATTTCCCTAAAGAGAGACACATGTTACTAGAGAAAAATAATCTCATAATAATTTGTTATTTTAGTTCCATTGTGATTTATTCAGAAAACATTCCAGCTCTAAAAAAGTTTAGCACATAATTTGAAAAAACAGTTGATTTTTGCCTCATATATAAAATCTTGATCCATACATTTGTCTCCAAAATATTTCATAGAAATACTTAAATTTGTAAGAAAGATATATTTCTGTGACTTTATTAAGATATTTTTAAATTTCTCATTGTAAATTTAATTATTGTCAACATCAGAATTTATACTTTTTGAGATTGCATTGAAAGTTAATATACATGCATAAATTACATTCCCATATTTCAATACATTTTATGACCCCTATGCAATGATTTTTTCTTTTATAATTAATCCCTAATATTTCTGAGACTACAGCCTAAGATCAAGTTGTAGATACACACCCTCTTTGTTTGTTTGTTTGATTCCCTTAAAAATCTAGCCTAATCAACGTTTTTAGGTCCCAACCATTATTACCTGCTTCTTTCCTCCCTAAAATGTTCAATGAATAGCTATTGCCAAGTATAATTTATATAAAGCAGATATCTTCTCTCTCCTCACTCAATATTCAAATTCTGTAGTTTAAGGACCCTCTTTTCATGATAACTTTTTCTAAAGTCTTATTGTAGCTCCATGACTCTGTTCAAGCTCTCTAAAAAGATCTGTATTGTGTTCATATGCTTCTCAATAATTATATAATATTATGCATTCCTTTATGGCAGCTTTTGTTGTTCTGTTTTACCTCTTGCTTTTGTGTATTTAAAACTCTTTCCATGTGTAGATAACTGTGAGAATTTAGCCCCTATACTTCTCACTACCCACCATAAAACTCAACTAATATAATAATAATAAGTAAATCTGCATTAATTTAAAAAGTAGGAATGACAACAGAGGGGTGTCAGAGATGAAAATGTTAAGAACCTTCTGGGAGAAGAAATTTTAAGAAACAGATACCTAAAAGGAGAAAGAGAACTGGCATTTTGAGAGTGTCTAAGTGGGAATGAGTGGAGGGAATCTTCTCCAGAAGGAATATCATCAGTGAGTAAAGTCCAGTATGTTATGCCTAAAAAAGATTGTAGTGCCTCAATATCTCATACCTTTTTGGATCAAAGCCATCAGGCTGCTGAGGAAGTCTTTATATTCAAGACAGATGTACACACACACACACACACACACACATTTTTGGGATAATTCCATGTAGCCTTGGGATAATGATTGGGATAATTCCATGCAGCCTTTACAATAATCTATCTTCAGAGAAATATGAGAAATTGTTAATTCCAAAGTAAAAATATCATGCAGTACATAAAATGAAGTGTAAAATAATACTGGTATTATAGGTAAAATACCGGGACATGTAAAAGATAATAATATAAATGTATTGAATGTCTTTAAACATAAGATGATGAGAATTTACCAGAAAGCAATTACAAAGCAAAATTTAAAACAGATAAGAAAATGATAGGAATAATACAAATAACCCAGTATATACTTAGAGGCATTCCTGTAAGTGAATGTGGCATTGATATTTTTGAAAAATTTTTTTTTATTTTTTTAAGATTTATTTATTTATTCATGAAAGACAGAGAAAGAGTGAGGCAGAGACATAGGCAGAGGGAGAAGCAGGCTCCATGCAGGGAGCCCAATGTGGGACAGGATCCTGGAATTCCAGGATCACACCCTGAGCTGAAGGCAGATGCTCAACCACTGAGCCACCCAGGCGTCACGACAAAACATTTATTTTTAAGTCAATATTATTGTATGAGCCTTTTTTTGGGGAACCATTATTTATGAGCTGCAATGTTCAAAGAGGATACAAAGTACACAGAAAAATAAATGAGAAATAACCCATTAAATGGTATTTTCCTGAAAATACTAAATATTGTCTTCAAAACAATTTTATAATTCTCAATATCAACAAGATAGATACACTAAATTCTACTTGAGACAAATCATGGTAACCTGAGAAGATATATATGCAGTAATTTATGCAAAATGACCTCATGTTTCACAATACACTTGTATATTTTATATGGAAACAATAAATTCTAGGAGATGGAAGAATGCTATCAATGCATGCCCTCAGAATTAACGTGGGATGTAACTATGTTGACAGAATGGGGAGGGTAGGGGATAAGGTTGATGATGTAGGGAGTGGGTGACACTTCATCCACAGTGGGATGAGTTACAAATTATGGTTTGGTATTTGGGATTTAGGAACCAAGTACTAGAAGATGAATATATTGCTTAAAATACTGAGGTAGTTTTGGGAGACAAATCGTAAAATAAATAGAAGTATTTGCCTTCATGTGGACTGTTGATATCCTGTCCATGCGTCCTTTGAATAAAATGTTAGAGTGATATAAAAGTTATTGCAGTTAGAAATTTACGGGTACTGATATTATTGCAGATGTGAATCTACAAATCTACTGTGATATTCCCATAGCAAGGTTCTGGATGTATCTGCAGCAATTGATTTTAAATTATTCCAAATTGCAGAGGAATAACTGGGAGAGCTCATTTTGTTTATAGGTAAAAGAAGTATTGCATCTGACATTGAAGCCACTATAGATATTGTATACATTTCAAGGTCTAACGTAAAGAACAGTATTTTTTATGTAAAATAGCTAGATTAATTCCATTTTATTTTCATTTTACCTAATGACATAATGAAAACTAATCTAGTTACACACTATATGCAAAACATTTGCACCTGCCTCAATCTTTTATACTTCACTAGAACTTTTGGTTTTGGCATCAATATTACTACAATATAGAGTGGAGAAAAAGTCAAAGAGTTGGTTTCTTAGTGAGCTGGAGAACTAAGCTTTGAGCCTGAACAAGATCCATTCATGGCAGAGAAGATAGAACCATACACTTCCACTGGGTGGAATCCAACATATGTCAAGATTTGTGCCAGGAACAAATTTCCTTTAATCCTGACCAGTGGCTCTTACATTTGATGCAACCATCCATATGGCTACAGATGTGTGTAGATGATGAATCATATTTCAGAGATTTAAGGAAATTCTTTGGTTTTCCTCTCTTAATGTAGATGCTAGATAAATGGATGCAGATGTTTATATATTAATTTTTACTTAAAATTATTCTTACCTTACCATTAAACATTTTTAGGCAACAATTATGAAATAAAAATGGCTATTTTGAACTGCTCAAAAATAAATAGAAATGAGGGATCCCTGGGTGGCTCAGTGGTTTGGTGCCTGCCTTTGGCCCAGGGCATGATCCTGGAGTCCCAGGATAGAGACCCGCATCGGGCTCCTGGCATGGAGCCTGCTTCTCCCTCTGCCTGTGTCTCTGCCTCTCTCTTTGTCTCTCTCTGTATGTTCTATCATAAAATAAATAAATAAATCTTAAAAAAATCTTTAAAAAAATAAATAGAAATGAAAAGGAAAACTATAAGCTATTAATTTAAAAATTACTATAGATGAAAGAGGATCAAAAATGTATATGATTTTATGTCTAAATAAATTGGTTTAAAAAATAAAAAAATTAATTGGTTTAGTGCTTATATTTTGTTCAAGATATTTCTTTTTCCTTTGGTTTGGAGTCAATCATATTTTCACTTGTTCCCTCCAAAAATACTTTAATCAATGATGTAGAGAATGCATTCATCACTCACACATTGTCTAAATGAAATCTAATCCACCTCAGATTGTCCAGATACCAAAGATTCCCTAGGTGATTTTGATTTTTTTTAATTTTTATTTATTTATGATAGTCACAGAGAGGAGAGAGAAGCAGAGACACAGGCAGAGGGAGAAGCAGGCTCCATGCACCGGAAGCCCGATGTGGGATTTGATCCCGGGTCTCCAGGATCGCGCCCTGAGCCAAAGGCAGGCGCCAAACCGCTGCGCCACCCAGGGATCCCTCCCTAGGTGATTTTGGTTACAAAGAAATAGCCTCTTCTGTATCATCTCCTCTATAAATTAGGTTGTAATTGTATACATTCAATTGATTCCTACATTTTAATGAGGAAGATTCTCTAAACCACATCCAGTTTATAAATAATTGCATATTACTTTTTAAAATTTAGCTTAATAACATTCAATAAGCATTGTTTAACTGCCAGGCATTCCTTTTTCCTGTGTTTCCATGTTCCTTTTCAATTGCATATAAACTTGAAAAATGTCCCATTTTATTGGTTGACATATTTTTAGAATAAACAGATTTTTAAAATATAGGGTCATTATTATAAGATTATAAGTGTATTCCAAATGATGAGAATAAATCATTTAAAAATAGTTACCCAGTGGCAAATCTGGAAATGTGTCCTCCAGATAGCAGATAATGTATAATTTTCTTCTGAAATCAACTGATCTCAAAGAAAGATATTTCAGATCACTAAATAAGTCTGGTCTGGTCACATTAGATGTGGTCTGATTATTTGCATAGTTTCAGCAAGACTGTGCATTTATCAAAGAAGCTTTTCGTTGTTTTGCCGAAAATACTGTAAGGAATCTCAGACTAAACCTTTAAAAGCGTTTGAATGTACACACACACACACACACACACACACACACACACAAAATCACCATCAATTTTCATGTGAATGTTTGTTGTTTCCTCTCTTCAAAGACCGTGTCATAATTTTGAGTGCTGAACTTCACCAAAATGAACTTACTTTATCACTTGTAGGGGAAGAAAAGTGTAAATCAGATCTCCCCCACCCCCACATACTCCTGGATTGCCTTGAATCTATTGAAATACCTTGAACTGGAGAGAGGCAGAGATGCAGGCAGAGAGAGAAACAGGCTCCTTTTGGGAAGCCCCATGAAGGACTCAATCCCAGGACCCAGGGATCATGCCCTGAGCCAAAGGCAGATAGATATTCAATCACTGAGCCAGCCAGGTGCTCCACTTTGGTCATAATTATATCTGCATGTTCATAGATAACAATTACTTTGCACTGATATCAGT